GACTTGATGAACTGTGCGTTCTGTGAAGTAGTTTCGAGGTGTAGGATCTGTCAAAGGAGGCCCTGACGCCGGAAATGGCGATTCTTCATGTGATGCATCATCAGGAGTGTATGTGGCATGGCCCACTGGTGTCGGGGAGGAAGAAGGCTGCCGGAGGGACCACAGGTGCCGACGCTGGTGGCGAACTCGTCGTGTGTAGAGGTCCTCCATGCTGTGGTCGGGTGGTCGAATTGGGCCAAGAAAGACCAGCTTCTTGAGCATCGCATTTGTGATCCATGAGCAAACGTAGGGTATGAAGAGGTCCCTTCGGAAATCCCCGCCGTTTTGATCCAGAAACTCGTAGAAGTTTACAGGAGTATATCAAAATAAAGTAATCACGAAGGCACAAAATCTCAAAAAAGAGAGAGATATCATCAAATAGCTTATGGGGTTCTCGGCTTAGCCCCAGGCCATGAACGTATGAGGTCATAGGCCGGATTTTGAATGCAATCAAACATCACTAGATATATGGGGTTCTTGGCTTAGCCCCGTGCCATTCAGCGAGAAGTTTTCCACGGCATCGACTGGTCTCTTCAAAATTGGTAAGCAGAGAAATCATGGCAGGATAACACCCTGGCGAACTTTGTGACAAGTCAATCGGAAAATGAAGGGCTGTGGTGTGCCCGGAACCAACGGTGATGAATGTAAGAAATTATATTGCTTGATACGCCACTCAGGTCGGTACTCTTCCAGCACTTGCATGACGGTAGGCTCGTTGCGAACTTGGAAAACATCCCCATCAAGATCTGCATAACGAAGTTCAAGGTCCGATGGAATCATACGGATGTCCCATTTTGGGCCCGCAGACGATTGCAAATCTGGGTTCGAAGATTTGCAATTTGGATGGCTGCGGCCATCTCAGCAGAGAATTGTTGCGACCATGTAAACAAAGCTTCTTGTTCCCCCGTAGAGGCATAACGGAAGTTGAAATGCCGCAAACCTTTGCGATGCGATAACTCTTGGAGGGGCGAGTAGTCGACAATGATCAAAATAGGTCTGTTTGGAGGGTGATCATCACCAGCAGGTTGACGGCATACCAAGAACAAGGCCGGGGACCACTTGGTGTCTCAATGTCGGTGGTCGCTCGATATGGGTGATGTCGAAGTCCCTTCGGACAATGGCACACGATATATGTCGAGCAGCAGCAGCAAGAATGAAAAGATCCAAAGGTCTGCAGGATATTTATACAATGTCGCACATGAAGAGTTGTGGGCCGAGTATGCATGAAATAAGTTGGAGAACATCACTTTTACCTTTGGTGTCGCGAAATCATGGAGTGCATCGTAGCTAGAATTATACACTAGAGTCGGACATATCAGCATTACTGCTCACTCCAGAATGAGGAGGTCCAGGATGAGGTGGAGGAGTCGTAGTGGGAGCCGACGTGGTGGTTGTCCGTTGTCGCAGAAGTAGTCTCGAAGGTGATGCTGGGTGTGTGTTTCGTGTTGGTGGCCAAAACAAGGATGTCGGAGCACCTTGAGAATGCCGGTGAGCAGAACGGCCCCAACAGGCCTGAAGAATCGACGAATGGTCCGGAATTGCCGACACAGGTTGTCCGAAGAAAACAGTCGAATGTTCAGGATGTGGGAGAACAGGATGTAGGCTGTCCGATGGTGCAGTGTTGGGTACAGGTTGAACATCATAGTGGAATCTCCATTGGTTCGCCACAGCTCGCAAAGTGCGAGGGTCCTGAGACAAGTGGAGGCTACCCAAGAATGATTCAATAGAGCGCCACCTTTCGAGGCCATCGGAATTGGTTTCCAGGATCCACAATTCATCCGGACTTGTAGACAAAGGGTGGGTAACCTTCTTGACGTAGATAGTGTGGACTGTATGGGCTTGAGGCACGGCTCGAGCTGCTCTTGGGATGTAAGCCACGGATGTAGGATCTTCATAATGTTGATGTATCGAGTCATAGGGAATATCCAGGGGAAGATCTTGGCGTGAGTTGCCGTAGTCGCCCATGAAGTATGGTGGTTGAGCCATCAGGGAAATATCAAGTACGGGGATCACAAAAAGAGGAACGTGGTGGAGCCTATATATAACAGCAAAAGGATACGCCTGAAGACAAACAAGACCGAGAAGTTGGGGCAAATGGGTCATACTCACAGAATCGATTTTCAAAAAATGAAGATGGACAAGGGTACACCAAAAGGGTCCACGAAAAAACCTTTAGAGGGTCCTGGTTCCGTTTCGGATCTTTTGTGGTCGCAGGGAAGTCGTTACGGCACAATGATATCATCACTGCGTTGTGTGAAAAGAATGGGTGCCCTCGAGGAATGCTTTGAATGCGAATAACCACACCGGTATCTGAGGGATCAGGATGAAGAGCTTCAGGTGGGACATCGGAGCCTCGAGCTGGGTGAGCGTAGCAGTGTTGGCGGGTTTTCCAGGAGGGGTAGTGCCAGTTGGGGATGTCCAGGATACTGTGATTAGGTTGATTATTAAGTACTTGATGTCCTTGTGTGGTGTCAATGGCTAGGTAGAACTCAGAGGTGTTGAGGAAAATAGCCCAGCGTTGAGAGAAGATGTCCACGACCAGTGTTTCGAGTTCTCCGACGTAGTGTCGTGAGGCGTAGTCCGGATAGATGACCTTGTAGGCCTGGAAGAGACTGTTGTACTCCGAAGTCGAGAGGTTGCTCGCGACTTGAGGAGTCAGGATGTTGTAGTACGAGTCACGAAGAGCCAGTTGTGGCATGGGTTTCAAGGCAATCTGTAGGATAACTGGTCGATGAGCTTGAGGAGTAGGTGGTTGCCAACCAGGTGGGCGAAAGAAAGGCGATGGCCGTCATGGGCTGCCGATCAATATGAGGTGATCGAGATCGAGATGCCGTTGCAATTGGGTCAGCTGCCATGGCTCGGTGCATACAATAGCGGTCCAAGTGTGATCGGAGGGCATGATCAAGGGAAGCTGGAGCACCAAGCACGAACGAAATACCATCATGGGGCCCTGAGGAAGGCAAGGAATTGCAACGGGATTCACAAATACGGGAGAGGACCAAGCAAACCCAGGAGAATTCCAGGTTGTCGAATTTAGTGAGGAAAAACCAAGAGGCCCAAGCGGATAGCCTTTTTCCCGCTGAACCAGTCGCGCGTCAAAACTTCGTGTCGGCGAGGATCTAGCCCATGCTGTTCTTGATATGATTCCACATGATCTTGACGTCCGGTTCAGGCTTCCCAAGTTTGCTAGCGATGACCTTCCAGGCGTAGCGCGACTTCTCGTCCGTTTTGAGTGTCCAGAGGAGTTTCTTGTCTTCATCAGTCCAGATAGGGGGAGGGCTGGGCGATCTCTTTGGCGAGTTCGACTTGGACTTTCGGCGCTTTGCTGGTGCCTTGGGCATCCCTTTGGCTGTTCGTTTCTTCGACGTTGACGTGGGTTCGAAAGAAAACTTCGGAGGAGTAGGAACTGAATCCGGTACGGGGGCTTCGATGTAGTGACAAGGTTGGGGAAGATGATAATCGATGAGGTCTTGCATCATCTCCTCTTCATCAGATAGCTCCGGAGGAGGTAGTGGGGCTGCCTCAATGAAAGCGTTGGTCTCGTCGGAGTACTCTTGATCTGGTAAGAGTCCCGGAGGTTGGTTCCAAACTCCCGTGCTGGGCAATGGCGTTGGCTCAATGTTCGGAATCATCGTAGGAGGTAGTAGGGACATTGCTCGATGGAGTAGAAGGTAGGTGAACATCATGTAGGAATTGTTGAAATACAGGTTCATGAAAAGTGGAATTGTCGCCGATGAAGAGGACGCCATGGCCGCGAGGTCAGCCGGAGGTCGATATGGGCAGTGTCAAACAGCTATAGAACCCTGATATGCGGGGTGAAAATCACGGAAAGTGAAGAACAGTCGGTTGAATTGCTCATGCAGTGTAGGTTCTGATGAACGTTCTGCTGTTCGCCGCATTTTTACCATAACGACTTAGAGTGCATGTAATGACGGATTGGCTTGGCGGCTGCGACAAGGTCTGATTCTTGAAACCCAGCGGAGCTGTACAAGCGCTGCAATGCGGCGAAACCTCGGAGTTGTTCGGATTTTGGGTGCGTACATTTGGCGACGAAAAAGAGGCGCAAAACCAAACCTGATAACTGAACCGCCAATGGCGAGGCTGAAAAAGGAGCCATAACCTGGTTGAAATTATGTGGGGGGCAATATCTCAGGGCGAACGGCTCAAACTCGATGCAGAAGCCCAAACACTCTTGATCGGGTTCAGTCTCCAAGATGATGGGGCTGCCGTAGAATTCCAGATGTAGAAAGGTCGAGAAAGCCGGATCATGATGCCAGTGAGGGTCGACCAAGCAAAGGCGGTTGTCCACATAGCGCAGGAGACGGGACGTCAAATCCATCGATGCCAATGTGCTGGCAAAGGTGCGTAACCAAATTTCTTCCGAGAGCGCCCTTGGATGATCGACTCTGCTTGCATCTAGATAGCTGACTTACTATCTACTTAGCGCACATAGCATGTCACTTAGCTTTCACTTAGCTCTCACTTAGCAAGTCGGCTAAGTCTACTTAGTGCATAGATATATGTCTGCTTAGCACACTTAGCTAAGTCTACTTAGCCCACTTACGGCGCACTTACCTATGTAGGCTAAGTAAGCTATGTCACCCGGTCGCAACATGTCACCCGATCGCAGCGTGTATTTTTGTGTTTTGCAGCCATTGATTTGTGAAAACGCCTGAGGCAAAACAAAAGCATAACAACACATGATCCGTGTTTTTCCAAAGATGGGTTTGACAAAAAAAAGTCAAAAAAACAAAACCAGAGCGAACAAAAAAGCAAACGTAACTAGAAAACCAAAATCAAGGAACAAATTGTACTTGCGTGGAGCTTGCGGAATGCAAGCAATGTGTTGTCGGAATCATATTGCCAAAATGGCTTGGCCATTTTGGCTCAAGTTTGAACCATCAGATCTCTAAAGATTTGAAGCGTGTTTCGCACTTTCGTCTGTTTTCTTGCCCTCACCAATGGCTTCATCTTCTGTGGATGCTGTCTCGCCGGTCGAGATCGGAGATGTGGGGAGCGGTGCTTCCCTGCCGGAAGCCATGGAGGTGGATGCTCCACCCTCCACCGTGGACTCTGAACTCCTTTCGGAATCTAGTTTCCAACTGGTGGGAGACCTCGCTGAGATCACGAATGAGGATTACCAGATGGCGGAACAGGTCGCCGAGGCCTACAAGAAAGATGAGGACGCAACGAGCCTGACCCTCTCGGGCGTGAATCCTGGCTCTTTCACGATGCTCCAGACGGCAACTAAGGTGGACCTTCAGAAATTGCTCACTGAGCTTACCGAGGCAATGCAACGAATGCTCACTAAGGACTCCTCTGTGGACCAAGGTACAGGTACCCAACCCGGGCCAGCTGTCAGCGGCCAGGGCATGGGGACCGACACTAAGGCCCTCGTGGAATTTGAGAAAGTGACGGTCGACACCTACCGCATCGCCAATGGCAACCTGGAGCTCCCCCTGGTCCCCCCAGCATCTCCGCAACATGCTTCGGGACTTCACTCTGAGTGATCTCCGTGACCTCCTGACCATCTTTGACAAGGGTTACGCCCTAACCCCAGCGGCCTTCCACCGCATCCTGGAGAGCTATGGCCTGGCAGTCAAGAAGCTGCAGCACGAGAAGATCCTGTTGGCTGAACATGTCAAGAAGCGGGACACGACCACCATCCACACCTTGGAGGTCGGACCAGAACTAATTGCAAAGCCCCCTGGCTGAAGCCTGCGGAGACAGGCACATGCTTGGCATGTGGCAAGCCGGGGAACTGCATCCCAAAGCCACAGGACCTGGGGCTGTCCCAGGAAGTGGATGGGGTCACCTGGAAGCTCCACATTGATGACAAAGGGTCAACTGGAAGATCCAACCAAAAGAGGGGGAACACATTGATGAGGAGCGTGAGACCAACATGAAGGCAGCAGCCTCCATCAACGTATCAGATTTCTCGGTACCCCTCAAGGAACCACGGGTCAACCCTGAGCTCTCATACTCGGACCTGGTCCCCAACAACCAGCGGGTCCTCCTCCGCACCCAAGTTGTGGAAGAAGAGACGGACGACCCCTTGTTTTCCAGTGCGCCCACTGGTGACCGCCCTCCTTTGAAGCGCGAGTTCAAAGATGGCCAACAGTCCCTCTTTTTCCATCCTCAGGCCACCAAGGTCCTCCGGATGCGAGCCCAGATGCGAGAGGACCCCCCGGCCAAGAAGACGATCCAGGAAAAGATGGAAGAGGAGGAGGCCTCCAAGTGATTCAAGCCATGCAGGCAGGGGCACACTCGCTCTCCCCAGAGGAGGCCCCGCCACCTCAGCCTCACCAAGTTCCAGGGCTACCTCAAGCGCAAGCATGAGGGAGAGTCGGGCAGTAGTGACGTATGGCAACAGATTGCCTTAGCACAAACCAGCATCTCACAGGCGAAGGTGGCGAACAAGGAGCGCCAAGAACAGGGACAGCACAAGCGGCAGATGCTGCGTCCAGCGGTGGAGACGCTTTGGTCTCCAACAGTGCAGAAGGTCCTGGAGTCCAATGCCCTGATGCCCTCCGTGGCGGTGGACTTCCTCTCCCAGGATGACCTCAACCTGGCCCGCACCCAGCATCTGGACCTCAAGATGTACATCAAGGCCAAGGGCAACCCTTGCCCGGATTCATTGCTGCTGGAAGAAGTGCCGGAGACCCCATTGGATTTCTGGGAGGTCACCAAGGCGGCGGACCCCCCAGCTGGCAGCGGGGAGTCCAATGCCGACCTGGCCTCCCGCCTCCCTCCGGGCAGCATGGAGCGCAAGTTGGCCATCCTGGACATCATCAACCAGCACTCCCAGGGCCAGCTCAGGGTCTGGGGTGGTCAGTGGCAGAAGAAGTGGGATGAACTCAACATCCCGGGTTGGGCCATGTCAGGTAGACAGCCTAGGAACACCTGCGCCCCCTGGAGTCGTGCACCAAACCGTATGGACCCACGGGTGACTTCCATCAGTTTGTCCGCTTCACTGCTGAGGAACTGGAGGACCAGGTGAACCAGGGCCTACGTCCCCTTCAGGACACGATCCACAACTTGTTCTGGGCAGCGGGACCGGCAGACGCCGGCACTGGCACAGAGCAGTTTCAACTTGGTCTTTCCCAAGCCTGTGCCACAAGTTGGCACACCAGAACAATTTGAAGGAAATCTACGCGATCTGGCAGAACATGCCACTTGCAGTGGACCCCCCGACACGGGGACACCACTCCGCCGAGAAGGGCCGCCTCAAGTTGCAAAGGCACACAGCCATTCGAAAGGAAGTCAAAACATTTGCCCAGGAGATGGGACTGAAGAAGCTCCCATCGGATGTGGACTCATGGCGGCACCTATACCAAGAAATGGGGAAATTCTTGGCCGCCCAATCCTTTCTCACCCATGCGCCGCCCTCTGTCATGGAATTGCCCCCTGCAGCAATCCATGACTCCAAGACCCATTTGCGGGAGAGAGCGATTTGTGACGAACGGATCAGTCTCCCCCTCAGCGCATTCGAGGAGCTGGACACGGTCTACTCCAAGCTTGCAGCCCAGTTCGGCACCCAGGAGGCGATGGTAGAAGTCAAGGTCAACTGGCGCTGCACCAATGTGATCTGGTGGGCCACTGTGGTGGACGACGAGGACCTGGCCAGGACCTACTATGCCAAGCTGGGCTACTCCGTGGCGGAGACTGAGGGTTTCATCTCCAAGGCCAGAGAGCTCGGTCCAGCCGGTGGCGGACTAGGCTTGAAGGCCGAGGGCAAACATCCCCCCCTCACATTGGAGAACCTGAGCAGCATCATGGCCCCAGATTCCAAAAAACAAAATTTTGGACACCGCAAGCTGCACGGTTTTTTGGGGAAAAATGGAATGCGGCCTAGTCCTCAGTTCTATGAGTCCCTGGGAATACGTTCCCAAAGAACAGGGAGTCCGCAAAGCGGGCGGATTTGCCTGCAAGTTCTGCGAAGGTTTTTGGAAAGCCAAGGCCGGCAGCAGCCGGGTCGTGCAGTTGTACGGTCGCTCAGGACAGACCAAGGTGGCGCTGCAACTCATCCTCGATGAACCTCCAGAGCGCCTCTACCAGAAGTGGATCCAAGACCGCATGGCCTACTACCTCCGTATGGAGCCCATGGGTGCCAGCCGAGACGAGGCGCTTGACCTCGACTACCCGGTCCAGGAACGCATCCGCTTCTCAGTGCAAAATGGGTTGGGCCGAGTCTCTGACTTGATTTGGAGTGTGCTCTTGAGCAACCCGGAGCGCGAGGGCCTTTTGAAGATCCAGCAACTGGCAGCGAAGCGAGTGGGCAGCCAGTGAGTGGTTATCCTTGGCAGGACGCGGGATGGAGCCGGACAGCCCTTGGCGTCTAGCTCCAGAACCTTCGCGACACTGGCCAGATCTTGCCCTGTGGGCTGTGCCGAGACTGCTGAGACCGTATACCGGCTCAGCCCATTGCGACAGAAAAGAAGCAGCCCGGGCTGAACTGCAAGTGTCCTGAACGTAGGCCTCCTCTTTCTCCCAAGTCCTGATGTCCGCAAATTGAGTGGAACGGATCCTTGCCTCTTACTGGAATTGAAAGGGTTTTGGTTTCTTTTGCTTTGGAGAGTTTTGTGAACTTGTGTGGTAGATGCTGATGGTTGTGACCTTGCATTTACCTTGGTAGATGGAGTTCTCTCTGACTGACTCACCTGACCGACGGTCGGTGACTTTTGACAATGATTGCATTACTTGCAGAGAGGGGGCAAGACCCCACCCGTTCATACAGTGTGGGTTTCTTGGACACCTGTGGAACTTTTGGATAACCCTCTGGATTCCCACTTTTCGCTTTTGTTTTACCTCCTCTCCGCGGCTCAAGGGGACTCCCCCCATACTCTTGCTCAAGCTCCAGTGATTCCCCTCCTACACAGCCTATATGTCGGGAGAAGGGCCTCCGTTGCGCTTGGCCACTCCTTTTGGCAGGGCGTTTGTGAAGGCCCCAGCCTATCTCCGTAGGGCCCTCCTGGAGTTGGGAGGCAAGGCGGGGCCATGCTGTATAGGGCCCAATTATCTCGATCTTCCTGTGCCCGCCTGTTTTCCATCTGGTTGTAGAGATATAGGTCGGTTTGCCCCCCGAGACAAACGTCAGCAGGGCCGCCAAGGCCTCCCTGGCTGTTGCCGCATCTTGCTCCTCCACTGGAGGGGTGACCTCCTCCAGGATGAATGTGACCAGCCAGTTGAAGTGGTCTGAGCAGACAACGTCAGCTAACGTCCAGCCCATAAGGTCTTCCCGGAGCATCATGTGTTTGAATGTCGCCGCCCCGAGTGGGGCATTGTCCTCCGGGGAATAACACATCTCCAGTAATAACTCCCCATCCGATTGGACTGGTGCCAACCTCTGTTTAAATCGCGAAGTGGCGACACTGGAAGCCCAGACAGCTACAAGATACTGACCCCATCACTCAAAGACAACTGGAGAAAGAACTTCGACTCAAATGGGCCCAAAGGCTGGTGTCCTTCTTCGCACCCTTCGCGGACAAGATACCCAACATGGCCTCGGTCATGGGTCCAAACCAAGAGAGGGAATGGTTGGACCTTCTGGGTGACACGAGGTTCAGGACACTACGGATACGGATCCATTGTCTTGCACTGGAAAACCTTCAAACAACGGGCTTCACACAGATCCCTTGGACCGAATCAGATGTGCGGGAGCACCTCAACAGGATGAGGGCTGAGGAAGCCTCCCCACACAAGATCCAGCGAGTCTGGGAGACACTGCGTTGGTTCTCCAACCGGTTTGGCTTTCTCAAGATCGATGCATGTGAACGGCTCATGGAGAAGAAGAAGAAGAAGACCCTCCAGGAAGAAGGAGTGGACATGGTGGCCAAACCCCAGCGGAAGGCCATTTTTCCTACAAAAGAAGTAATTTGGACCCTGGAAGAAGTTGCTGCGGGATCAGGTCAGACCCCGGCTGGTAGTGGGGAGAACTTGAGTGCCCACACTATCCTTGATCAGTACATCTGTGGAGTGGTGAGATTCCAGGTGGCCTGCAGTGCACGTTTCAATGACCTCCAACACACCATCCCCACGGCCTACAAGTTCCACGGAAGAACAATTGAACTACAGGCATGGCAGACCAAGACGGTGTCGGCCTCCCGTTCAAAAAAGGCACCGGTACCTCTGCTGGCCCCCACCTACTCCTTCACGGGGAAAGACTGGTGGACACCTCTTATGCAGAGCTGGGACAAGATGCGGGACTTGGAGAAGTTCCAAGGCATTGGCTATATGATTCCCACCCTGAGTAAGGACTCAACGGGGGTCATCGCGCGGCCCAATGCGGCTGACAGAGCCCTTAGGTGGCTAAAGCGGCTCTCCACAGGCACTGGGGAACAACTACGGACTCGTCAATCTTGGCCAACTTGACCTGGCATAGCTTCAGAGTTTTTGTCCCTGACTATGCATACCAGTTGGGATTCCCACGAGATCAACGGCAATACCTGGGAAACTGGACCACAGAAACAACAGCAGACATCTACACCAGGGACAAACGGAATGTAGTAGAAAAAGTCTGGAAAGCAGTGGGGGACAAGATGTGTATCCTCAAGCTGGACAACCCCACTGCGCTTCGTCGAATCGACCTCAACCACGAAGATTGGGACGACCCGATCCCGGTCCAGGACGATGTCAGACGGGAGCTGGACATGGAGGTCCTTGACACGCCAGACCATCCTAGGGAGGATGCAGCAATGACAGGAAGCCACTCCAACAAGCGGCGCCGGACGGCAGGGAGCCTAGGGACGTGGACCCCCACTGGGTCCATTGCGGGTGGTGTCATCCTCGAAGAAATCTAGGGCAACGAATCAGTACACCGTGCACCTCCTTACCCAGGAAGGGAAAGCCGTGGGATGACTTCTGCTGGATCCTCCGACAGGGCACAGCCACAGCCTGGGCCACTACCTTGCTTGCAACATATGTGGCTCTGGGCCCTTGTAGTGCGCATGGCTGAAGACAAACACGTTACCATCATAGAACTCTTGAGACAACTCCAAGCTGGTGAAGTTTTCACCTCCAAGGCCATCGAGAAGGCCCTGGGACGAATCAGCTGGGCGACAAGTGTATGTACACTTTCACGACCCTTCCTCCAACCATTTTGGGCATGGAAGATGGCATGTAAGACCTCGGGGAAACCCCCGAAGCTGGTCACCTTCTTTGCGAAGCTGCTACAGATGATCTTCTCAGTCCCCTACAAACAACCTTCTCCCTACGTGGGCGTCTCCAACTGGTGGGGTGCAAGCGACGCCAGTGCTACGAGAGATGTCCACACGAGCCGCCCATGGATTGGAGGATGGATTTCTGACATGGAGGCCCCAGACAAATCAGCTGTCTGGTGGTTTCAACTCGAAATTCAACCGGACGAATGTCCATGGGCTTTTGTGGATGGTGATTCTACCAGAAGAATCGCATCCTTGGAAATGCTTAGCACCTTGGTTTTAGCAGCCTTGCTAATCCAACGGGGCTCCTCGACTTTACTCCGCCTCCAGCTTGCACTGATCTCTGACAACCAGGGCAACGTCTTCGCCCTGTTGAACCAGAATACGAGAAAGATGCCCACCGCAGCCTTTCTCATGCAGCTGGTGCATTTGCTATATGACCGAGGAGCACAACTGGCACCGAACCATTGTAAACGAGATCACAGTCAATGGGCTGACGAACTGACTCACCCGGCGCCAGTAGGTTTCACCCCGGAAAAGCGACTTTCGCTTCAATCAATTTTTGCTTCCTTTAAGCTTTTGCCACAAATTTTGCAGGATTGGAAAACTCCTTCTCTTTGAAACTGGTTATTGTGGACCTGAAGGAATGATAGCATCCTGCCCGTCTCCACCCAACCCACCCATGATCCCATGTGGGAGTCCGGTGGGTACGGCTGCTTTGATGTGGGGTTGTTTTTGATGACACCACCACTGATTTCTCTGCCAAGTTGTGGCAGGTGGTCTAACAGACCACTGGTGACATAGGTCACAGACATAAAGCAGCAGCCGTACAGGCACCATCTTAGCATTGTGTAAAAAGGGAGATGGTGCTGCCTTGCTCTTAGCTTCTCGTTGGAACCTTAGTAGCTTGCCATTTTCGATTGTTACGGGAACACACAAGAAAAAAACAAGACGCCAACAAGAAACAAGAAAAACAACAAATATAAAACAAAAAAACCCAAAAAACAAAAACAAAAACTGAGGAAAATGCAGGTTTTGATTCTTTTTTTTTTCTGGCCATCTTGGGCCTATCTTGGGCCACCCGTTTTGCGACGGTACCATAGACAGCTCTGTTGCCACGGGGCGCATTGATCACAGAGGTGTTTGCGGCCACCGGTTTCGAGTG